CCCCCCCTCCTGCCCCTCCTACATTCCTGTTCCCCCCCTTATCTGCACCCCCTCCCCTCTTCAGCACTTTCCCACTCCCCCCCCCCCCTTGGATATGTCTATGGTTATGTGCTGCATAACTTTGCTGGTCAAATTCTCTGTTTTCATTTTTTTTTAAATTTTAAACAGTCAGAAAAAATTGCAAAGTGCAAATGTGTAAAAGCCACACACAAAAAACGGGGGGGGGAGAGTTTTTTTTTTTGCTTGGGGCGGCAAAAAACCTAGGGCCAGCCCTGCCTGTTGCATGAGGTCAGGATCATCCCGGATGTCCCCATTTTTTGTCCCTCAGAGATAACCCTATGCAGCTCTGCTATTTCCTCCCCATTGGAGCAGATCAGGAACTAACCTACTGCACTAAAGGCTACAGGAAAGGCGGAGGCCAGCTCCAATTCTTGACAAACATTGAAGAGGAAAGTGAAAGTAATATTTTTTCTTTTTCACAGCAGCCATCATGTCAGCTACAAACCCTGTGCAGGAGCTCCGGGATGAGCTGGTTTGTCCCATCTGCCTGGAGCCCTTTAAAGACCCAGTGATTCTAGACTGTGGGCACAATTACTGCCAAGCCTGTATCACCGACTGCTGGGGGGGGTCGGGCACAGGAGTGTGCCCCCAGTGCAGGAAATCTCTCCCCGGGGGAAAGCTGAGGCCTAACAAGCAGCTGGAGGCGGTGGTGGACAAAGCAAGAGACCTAGACGGAGAATGCGAGAAACATGGAGAAAGTTTGGATCACTTCTGCAAGCAGGACCAGACCCTCCTCTGCATGATTTGCAAAGAGTCTCGAGAACACAGAGCTCACACAGTCATTCTTGTTAAGGCGGCTGCAGAGGAGTTTGAGGTAGGACATTTGGTTAGAAATCAGAGATGGGGATAGATCGATTTGGGCACAACTCCCCCCTGCTTTTGCACTTTGCTCAGTCATTTACATTGAAGAAAAGTGGGTATAAAATGCTACTGGATCCGAACAGTAGCATTTGATCTCAATTTTTCACAGGTGTATGTGACTCTGCAAAGCAGGGTGTGGGGCACAATCAGGATTATTTTATCTGCCTCTTCCCACAGGGTTCTCCCTTCTCTGGTACTAGGGTGACCAGAAATTCCAAAATTCCCGTCCCAGCTGCTGCTGTTGAAGGTGAAGAGGACCAGGCGGGGCGTTTTGTTTGATAAAGATTTCCGGGGTTGGGGATTTTGTAGAAGCCCTAGGAATAGACAGTCTTTACCCCCTATGTTCCTTTTAATTCTTTCTACAGGCCTGTTCTTTGTATGCTTTAATCATATATTTTTATTATTTTATTGCCTTATTTCCACCTCTGAGTTTTTCTGCTCTATTTTCCCCCTCTCTCACCTTAGTCCTTGTTCTTCCTAACCACAGTTGGTTGGGAAAAAAAAAAAAATCTCCTTCCTAGGAGATTTTGGGGAAAAAATCTTTAAAAAACAGACAAACAAAAATCCCACAGAAGTGTTATGAAAAACTATCCGTTTTCAAAAAAGTTTAAACTTAAAAATGTTTTTGTTTCTCATTTTCAAACAACCAAAAGAATTTCAGTTTGATTTTTCAGAAAGAAAAGAGAGAAAATTTAAAAGAAAAATAATTTCCTGCAAAAAAAGAACAATTTTCTCTAGAAAGCCTCCACTCCTTCAAAAAGTGGATGAATTTTTTTTGAGCTGTTTTACTGCTTACTTTCCCCCCAGGTCCTTCACACTGCACCGCCATCCCCCCCAGTCGCTCGCTCCTCTCTCCAGCCAGGTGAAATGCCCTACTAAAATGACACCCCTGCAGCCCTCCCTTCTCCCAGGAAGTGACTGCAGACTCCTTCTCTGCAGCTGCCTCTCTGTCATCTTCCTGTCTTTATAAACCCAGCACAGCCCCTTCCTCGTGGGATCCCCCATTATTCAGTCAGGGGATTCCTTAAACCACCTGATTCCCCTCACCTGAGCCTGTCTGGTTAATTGGCCCCTTTTCTGAGCCTCCATTAACCCCTTCAAGGCAAGTGTGAAATGAACACCCCATCACAGGAAGCCCCTCCCCATATATTTCTAATGCACCCCCCCCCCAGGTCCCGTTTTAAGGCTGACGGGTATTTTTAAGGTCACTTTTAAAGCTGAAGTAATTTCTTTGGGATTGTTGCAGAAGCAACTTCTGAGTCATCGGGATCGTGTTCAGCATGTGAGAGACGAGCGAGGGAGACGGGCAGCTGCTGAAGAAAGGGAATGTCAAATTCTACTGGTAAGTGTCCACTCTTCATCCTGATCATTAATAGTCACCTGTGTTAATAATAGTCCCTGTCATAGGATGTACCTCTAGAGCGCTCCCTGGAGGTGGAGGAGGGGGCATATCTCTCTCATCCCAGATGTCCTCCCCTGGCAGTAGGAGTGGCTGTGGAGTCAGTGTGGGGTGCACACTCTGGCTGTATGTCTTAGGAAGGCGGCTTCCGCAGCTCCCTTCTGCTTTTGTCCAAAATAAAAAAGGCAAACAAAATAATCCTGCAGCCCACAAACCAGTCCAGGCTCCCCCCGCTGTGCTTCACAGGGTGAAACGTAAGTAGTCTCTGAAATAGGGCTGGGCTCCCAACCCGCTGTGTGTGTGTCCTCGGGGCGCTAATGACAAGAACAAAGTAAAGATGGTCCCTCTACCTCCCCGGAGGGTCCAGGTGGCAGATGCTTTTCAGTAGCTCTCTGGGCTCTGTGGGGCTGAGGGGCTGTAGTTCTGCTTCCCGCTGGATGCCAGTGTGGCCTACGAGCCCCCTTTGAAGGAGCAGCCCCCTCCCCCCCCCCCCGCGGGTTCGACAGACCTCACAGGTGCGTGGGCTTGGGGCTGCCCCTCCTTCCTCTCTGCGTTTCAAAATGCTGGGCACCAAAACAACTCCCATTAAAGTCACTGGTTGCTGCTGGGTGCTCAGCACTTTTGAAAAATCGTACCTCTTACAGCTTCTCTGTACAGTGGAGATACTAGCACTGTCCCACCTCCCAGCGGTTGTGTGAGGTGCCCAGATAAGCACCATAGAGAGCTTCCTTATTTAGAAGCCTAAATAATAATGAGTGTAAATCCAGGATTTAACACCTACAGACCGTTTGGAGCCAGAGCATTCCTGGCCAGTGCGGGGTTTGTACACCCATTGCAATATTATGGTTCATGTTATGTATGTATAATATACATCACAATCATTTTAAACAATCCCATTCACACCTTGCAATTTGCCATCACACAGGGAATTCCCCCCACTTGGGTGCAGCTGGTTTTGTGTTCTTTGTCTACACTACCAAGTTTTGTCACCAAAAACTGCCTTCTCTTCTGCAGACTAAATAAGCCCAGCTCTCTCAGTCTCTCCTCGTAAATCATGTGCTCCAGCCCCCTAATCATTTTTGTTGCCCTCCGCTGGACTCTCTCCAATTTGTCCACATCCCTTCTGTAGTGGGGGGCCCAAAACTGGACACAGTACTCCAGATGTGGCCTCACCAATGCCAAATAGAGGGGAATAATCATGTCCCTCCATCTGCTGGCAACACTCCTACTAATACAGCCCAATATGCCGTTGGCCTTCTTGGCAACAAGGGCACACTGCTGACTCATATCCAGCTTCTCGTCCACTGTAATCTCCAGGTCCTTTTCTGAGAACTGCTGCTTAGCCAGTCAGTCCCCAGCTTGTAGCGGAGCCTGGGATTCTTCCAGCAGTATCCCACAATGCCTGCCCTGATCGCTCTGCTCCGTGTTTTGATCTCTGCTGCCGTGCAGGCATGTGCCCCTCCCTTTCCAACCTCTGGGGATGGTATGTCTTCACGGCAGTGCTTTAACGGGGCTGTGTAGTCGCGGCACTGGCGCTAGCTCTCCCAGCGCTGTGAAAAAACCACCCCCGTGTGGGGAGTAGCTCCTAGTGCTGGTGCACTGTCTACACTGCCACTTTACAGCACTGAAACCTGCATTGCTTGGGGGGGTGTTTTTTCACACCCCCGAGTGAGAAAGTTTCAGTGCTGTAAAGTGGCCGCGTAGACAAGGCCTGAGTGTGCTGTTCTCTTTGGGGAACAAAGAGCAGACTGCTGTCGCGGGGGGTGTGTGGAGGGGGAGAGACTGCCCTGCAGCTTTGACATTGCTCAAGAGCTCACAGAGCTACTCATGATGCCCCTCCCGGCAGCTGAGGGGAACTCGGAGGGAATCACAGAACCACAGGCAGGCAGACAGAACGGGCTGCTTCGGGAGAGTCAGCTCTGCCCAGCAGTGCTGGGGGCTGACATGGGGGGCGGGGTGTCCCCCTGCCTCAGGATAGGTCGGTCAGCTTGCTGTCTCCCCCGCCCCAGACGCACCACTCTCCCTCCCTCCCCCACCCCCCGCACTTCAGTTGGAGAAGGATGCCCCTGGAAGGCTGGGACTGAAAACCTGCATCATGTGACGCTGTACCTGCCCCATGAGGCACTGCAAACCCTTCCCAAAGCACCCGGTGGCCAGTTGCATGATGGGATAGCTACCCACAATGCACTGCTCTCTGTGTCGATGGAAGAGCTGCTAGTGGGGATGCACTCTGCCTGTGCACATCCAACAGCGGTTTTAATTAAAGCGGTGTAACTTTTACCGACCAAACTTTGCAGTGTAGACAATCTCTTAGAGAGGCAGCCGTCACATGACCAGTCCCAGTTGTCAGCCCAGCCCTTCTCTGGCAGCTGGGGTTTGAAGGCAAGTTTCCTTCCCAGTGCAGCAGCTGCTGCTGCTAAGTGATGAACTGGGTTTCCTCTTCTTCTTCTAGGCCTGACACACCTTGCTGGTGTGACAAGATGGGCTCCTTGAGCCCAGAGCATTCCTGGCCAGTGCGGGGTTTGTACACCCATTGCAATATTATGGTTCATGTTATGTATGTATAATATAGGTACATAATATTGAAATAATATTTAAGTCAAAACAAAACGCTTCAACTGACACTGTCAAAAGGCAGTTTTTTTCAGATTGTTTATTTCATGGGAAATTTTGAAATTTCGACTTTTTGTTCCCATTCAGAACGGGATTTTTTTGGAAATGTCAGAATTTCCCGTGGAATGTAAATTACAGTTCCCAGCAACTCTACTAAATATTGACTTAGTAGCTGAACTTTAAGTTCTTACTTTTAAAAATCTTGGGACTGGTGATTTGGGGCCAGAGTATAAGTAAAATCTTTGAAAAATACCTTTAGTGGAAGATGGGGGCCTAATTCTTAAGTGCTTTTCGAATTCCCTTTCTTTTGGCTCTACGCTCCCTAGAAGAATCTCACAGGTAGGCACCTTATGCTGAAAATTGTGTTTAGACACCTCCAAGTGAGACTGGTTCCAATATGATGAGTAAGGGCCAGAGGGCTATGCCGATGTACCCCCACTGAGGATCCGCTCCCCCTCCCCCCGTCCCAAGTTCTGCCCTGTCTTAACAGGGCTCAGTCTCTCACAGCTAAAATGCAGTTGCTACTAGGGAGGGGGACCTGGGAATCCTGCTTCACTTTATGTCACAGGCCCGTTTATATCTGTTCATGACAGAAACAGCTGGAACACCAGAAGCAGGAGATTGCATCTGAATTCAAGCAAGTGCGCCAGGTTTTGAAGCAGGGAGAGCAGCTCCTGTGTAACCACCTGGAAGGCACAATACAGGACCTTGGGAAGACGAGGAATAAAAATACTAAGGGGCTATTACTTCTCGATCACTGCATAGCTGAGATAAATCAGAAGTGCCAGCAGCCGGTGAATGAACTCCTCAAGGTAAGACCGGTCAAAAAAATTTCCAATTTCCATAAGTGCTTAAATCACTTTTGAAAAAGAGACTTAGGCTCCTAAATCAATTGGGTGTTGCAGCGCCGAGCCTAGCAATGCCTAAATACCTTTAAAAATCTGGGCCTTAGTCAATATTAGGGCCCCATTGTGCCGGGTGCTGCACAGACACACAGCGAGAGACAATCCCTGCCCCAGCTGAGATCAGGGCCCCGTTGTGCCGGGCGCTGCCCAGACACACAGCAAGAGACAGGCCCTGCCCCAGCTGAGATCAGGGCCCCGTTGTGCTGGGCGCTGCACAGACACACAGCAAGAGACAGGCCCTGCCCCAGCTGAGATCAGGGCCCCGTTGTGCCGGGCGCTG